TTGCCTTTGTTGTTTATCGAAGAAGTGTCGGCAAGAGTGTTATCGACTTCCATGTCGTTTTCAATGATAATATTGTCTGTTGGGACAGCTAAAGAAACTGTAGGTTCAACTGTTTGTGTAGTATTTTGTTTTTTGTTAGGTTGTAAAATAGTTTTGGGCGACGCAGAGCGACCGCGATTGTTATTTTGTTTTCTGCTATTTTTTGGCATGGTGGAGAAGCAGAAAGAGTTTTGTTGATAATTATTTGTTTAATGAAGTCATTTTGTAAATAAAAAAAAAATTTCCTATTTCTCCCAAAAATGGGTTGCACAAAAAAGATCTGACCAACCAAACCAACTCAAAAAACGGTTTAACGTTGCAACCTTTTTCAATGTATTTTCGTCAAAGAAACTTTAAAATTTTAAGATTTCTAAGGATAATTTCATTTAGTGAAGTTAACCCTTTATCTAACATTTAGAGAGATATTTAGCGTAGAGACCCATTAAGCAAGTATTATTTTATAAAACGTGAAAATTAACAAATTTCCGTTCAGGTTTTATTTCATAAAATCAAGGATATTATAGAGATATTTCGACTTTCGCTTCATGTTTAAAAAAGTTTATTGTTTACGAAAAAGTTAAAATACAGTACGTTAAAAATATATATAGTTATATAGAAACAAAAAATTTAAAGATATTGTAAGGATGTAAAGATAAGCGCGGTAAAAACATTCTGCTTATAACGCGCGAATAGGTAAAGTTACATAAAATATACAAGATATAAAATTTAGTTGAAAAAATTGAATTTAAATAATATGAAGTTTAAAATGGTGGATTTCTTTGTCCACGATCACGACCACGATCACGAACACCACGACCACGACCACCACGACCCCCACGACCCCCACGATGGTTATTTTGGTTAGGATAATAACTTCCTGCAGAGATTCTTCGAACTCGATCAATAATACCATTAAGAGCATTAATATTCTTTTGCCATTCCGCGCGATTACTAGCGACCGATGGATCTTCACCTAATAAACTCTCCAAGTCTATTTTGTTGGTTTGATCTGCTTGATTTGTCGGTTCTGGTCCTAATAGTCTGAAATGTGTACGTAAATGCATTCCTAACCGGATAGCGAATTGATGTACGAGATAATATTCTACTATACGTGGTACGATCTCTCGAAATTTTGAATGTGACATTTTCCAATACGCTAAAGCTCCCTGGAAAAAAAAAACAAAGAAATATTAATATTAATTTTTGACACGTGATCATACGCTAAAGAACGTACCGTAGCAGCAAGAAAAGCATGTTCCTTGATGGTATTCCTTAGAATACTATGATTTCTGGAACTGTCAGATTCGGGAATTACACGAATAAATCTATCCAAATATGAATTTTTTATAGACAACATCACAGACATAGAAGCATTTGATTGCTGCGCTTCTGTTGCAAGATCCAGTTTTTCTATATCTTCCAGTACTTGTTTAGTTGACTCATTATTTCTGTCTTCACGCTGCGAAATACTATCGATTAAGTCGATTAAATCGTTTTTTACTTTTTCAAAGTCTTCTCTACTAGTGTCATTATCATACATCATGTCAAACAATTTAGTCCCTAATTCAAGAACTGCTTTTAAGTCTTGATTCGTTCGTTTTGTGCCTGCTGCCAAAACTCGAAGCTTGATAAAATACTCTGATTGCTTTTTCATAAGGGTGGCTTCATCAGTTACATAAAGAGCCCTACTAGCCGAAATATGCTCCATCTCTTCAAGATCTTTAAGATGTTTTGATGTTTCCTCTTTGCACTTTCTTAATAAATCATGTAAAACGTTTCTATCATTTATTTTTTTTAAAAGAGAAAAAAAAATTTGCGTAAATTATTGTCACCAATCACGTGTAAACGCGTAAAAAAAAAAAATTACTTACTTGATTTCTCCAATAACATCCGGAAATTCTTTAAAAGTGTCTTCTATTAGCTCATCAGTAAAACGAGCAACCCAATCGTGATTTTTATTCAATAATTTGATAGAAATCGGAAGCCAATCCGTTTGATGTTTTCCAACAATAGAAACTACGGCTTTATATGGAAAATAACCAACCAATTGTCCACCTTGTTGGTCTTGCACAACTTCATAAAGTTGATCCATTGTCCACAAATATTTTGAATCGCTTGCATATTCGTCAAAGTCGAATTCTTTCCAATCTTCAGCTGAAAATTCTTTCCTCCATTGTAATGCACCAGGCTTAATGGGATCAAAAATTTCGGCATTCGTTTCTCCTCCGTCAAACGAGAGTATATATATAGGACGAGTTTTTAATAATGTTTGATCAAATTGACCAAAGTTCGATTGTTGTCCACGATATAATTTATGGTCTACATTTTCGGCATTTGCGTGAGAAGTGAACGATTTATCAAAGATTCCAATTAATTCCGAGAAACGTATGATTGGGTTTTCATTAGATCTATGCGGAAGGTTATTTAACCTTTTTTCAAAATCATCTCTACAATCTTCCAAATGGGGTTGTATCCTTGGCCAAGATCGTTTATGACACTGTTCTTGTAATTCCATTAATTTCATGACCAAATTTTGTAAACCAAACATATTGATTGGTACATCTTTCCAAGCTTTGTGTTTTTTGAGCTCCTTAATCGTCTCGTTTTCCAATGCATCATCCGAATCTTCTGGTTCTATGCTAGATCGATTTCTTATAATATAAACACCATTTGTACACTGATATTCTCCTTTACTTTTTACTAGTTCAGCGAGTTCCAAATGCTTATCGTCATCATTTGGGTAATCCATGATACGATCAATTTTTGTCAAGGCACATACGGTACGCAAACCATCCGGATCTGCATCACATGCAAGTCGCAACGCGCATTGCGTACTAATATCGGCGGTTGCTTGAAATATTGGTACTAGAATTGCCGAGTCTCTTTTAATATATTCCTCCACCAAGGACATTATAAAACTTTCGTTCAATTCAACGTTTCGCACGAAACCTGAATATGACGATCAAGCGGATCAAACGAGGTGCGAAAAAAAAAGAAAAAAAAAAAGTCAGGCAATGGAATGTAATGAAAAAAAAATAGATTTTTTTTTTTTTTAATTTACCTGGTAAATCAACCAAGGAAAAATTATAATTTTGCGCGGGTCCACCAATTGTAAGACATACGGCATTTTTTGTAAAAGATAACTCATCATTATTTGGTTCAGGCAATCGCGACTTGATATCTTTAATACTTGGGTTTAGTACATAACGTTGAGCATCACGTAATTTTTTTTCGAATTCCGATTTATACGAATTGGTTAGATCGGCAAATTCCACCTCTCTCGATGTCATCGGTCTATGATTTTTGTCCTCTATGTAACGTAAAGTGATTTTACGTATTGGTTCCCCGGATTGTATCATGTGTATTTCGAAAGGCGCTCTTGTGCACAACGAAGTTCCACTGCACATAACAATAATGTTTTATCAATTATCACTCACATATGCATGAAAAAAAAAAGAATTATAATAAAGATTTTTATTACATTGGGACTGGTAAGCCACCGGTAAACCTTTGCATGAGGGAACTTTTACCGCATGATTGATCACCGAATACGACAATTGTTGGAGTATTTTTTCTTTCAAAATTATCCAAGTGATTGACTATCCCGAGGTTACTTATATCGTCCATAATATCGATATAATCCCTCGCACTTAGAATTTCCGATGGTGGTAAATGAAACATGTTGGATTATACGTGTTGAATTCGTCGCGTCGTATGGAAAAAAAAAAAAAAGAAAAAAAAATCTAGAAAACAATTTTTGAGTTCCAAAAAGAAGAGAATTTTTTTTTAAAAAAATATTTTAGAACTATTCGAAACCCATGAGAAAAAATTAAGAGTAGTCTTTTAAATTAGGAATACTTTCGAATACTTCTCACCAATGGCATGTGAGTTTTATCAGAGAGTATGGACAATCGTTCATGTGAATACATTTTGTTTGGTTAGGTCATAGAATAATCAAAGTCAAATGATTATTTAATAACTTTGGTGGGAAAAACTCGTCATGTCGATCATTTTAGTTATTTTTTTTGCTGCACTAGAGCGTCATAATACATCAAACAATGACTTTAATAACAACAAATATAATGATAGAAGAAACGATAATTAAAATCATCTATCCAGTATGAAAGATAGAAGATGGAATATTTTAATATCTCGAGTGATTTAACTTATGCGATAAACAACATCCTCCGGATTTAATTTTTACACAAGCTATTTTCGATTGTAAATTTTTAAATTATAGATTTCAGTCATTAATTAACGTTGGATTGATGAAACAGTATTAACTAAAGTTGGAACAACAAAATCTCAATAACATTACTTAATTTTTAGTTTAAACGTCTAATATATATATAGAAGTTCATTGTTGTGTATCGCATTTTTTCAGGGTCAGAGCGTGCTAAATTCCGACCTATAAATAAGATCTACATATAGTTCGATTAGTGTAAATATAAATATAGTGTCTAATTTTTTTCGTAATATGGTCCAGTTGTTAATACTAAACTTGTAAGGTTAAATATAAATCTAAATATTTCTCGCTTTATTTATTTGGAAAAAAAAAATAAATATACATATAATTCATATTCTATATGAAAAAAAAAGTTTGACAGAATTTTCTATATTTGTTTCAATTCCATTTTCTTATCCATACGTTAATAAAATGCCTTTTCTCATCAACATAAGTTCCATATCAACTCATCACCTCTTCCATATTAATATTATAACAAAGTTTAAGGTTGTTTATGGCAATTTTATTACCATTATTCGCAGCCTTTATAAACCAATAAATAGCCATTTTTATATCCTTTTCAATTCCAAATCCATTATGATAGGAATAACCAACTTGTAACTGTCCCAGGGAAAAACCTTTGTTAGCTACATTTTCATAGTAATTAAAAGCCTTTTTTACATCTTTTGCAATACCATATCCATATTCATAGCATAATCCAAGATAACATTGCGCTAATATATGATCTTGCTTTGACGCATTAAAAAATAAGTTAAATGCATTTTCACCATCTTTACTTGTCCCGATTCCATAATAATAACAATATCCAAGTAAACAAATATAATTGGAACTATTTTTGTTATTTTTTAACCAATAGAAAAAATCTTTTACATCAACCTATTGATTATCAAGATAATCAAAAATATGTTGATTGACTGTTTTTTCTTCAATTCCTTTATTTCTTTCCTCAAAAATAAGATCAAATAATCTATCGACCATTTTATCTAAATTCTTTTCGGTTTCCTTAACATATCGTTCTTTTGGCGGCGTTAAGGTTTCTATCATTTCTT